GTAGAACCTAATTATGGATGAGTGTAACTATAGTCATTAAACTGAGGAAGGAGGCAGTCAGATGACTTTTTTGGCAGATAAATTCACAAAAATTATATGGTTAGAGGGGTTGCAATCTGCACCAAAGGAGTGAATACCCATCTTACATACTTGTAGGAGTCTTCAGGACTCAGTGACTTATGGATGGCTCAAACACCCCAAGGCTGCTACGGTAAGAATGAGTCTCTCAAACTGGTCTGATCTAGACTAAACCCACAGGATTAGAATGGAACCCCACTGCCCTAGATCATGTTGAAAGTCAAATGCATATTTGCCTCACCACATTTACCTGCTTATTAGTCAGGGCAATTAAGTGAGGGCAGCCTCCCTGATGAGCTATGTGACTGTCTGTTCTCATAGGAGAAGAGGAAGCAAAGGAATCAGACTTACTTTATTCTTTCTCATCTTTTTCTTTTGCCTTTCCATTGGTGTTTATGAGTTTCTTAGAATCATAGAATCTCAGGGTTGCAAGGGTCCTCATAAAGCCATCTAGGCTAACACTCTTTATAGGTTAAGAGACTGAGTCCCAAAGAGTGTAAGTGATGTGCCTAAGGTCATACAGTTCAGGCAATAAGTGATTATTGAACACTTGTTATATGCCTGGCCCTGTGTTAAGCTCTGGGGATACAAAGAAAGGCTCCCCTTCCCCCTAAAAGGAATTTGATTCAATATATTAAGCTATCATCATCCCTCTCTGTGTCTCTCTCTGTCTCTGTCTCTCTCATTTCTCAATTACTTCTGCATCTATGTGTCTTATTTCTCCTCCTGTATTCTGAGTTCCTGTATCTGAATTGCAGATACTGTGTAAAAATTCATTATGTGCCAATATTTACATTCATCTACAATTAACTAAGTACTTAATGAAACAAAATTCCCAGCAGAAGAGCCAGATTAATAGAAGATAGTATATCTCTAAGGTCCTCAGAGTCATAGAAACACATGAACAGTCTTTGACATATTAAGATTAAAACTGTTTATGTAAATTCGATTTTGCCTTGATGCTTTATGAATCTCCCTATATGGGCACTCCCTCCTAAAGTGCAGATCAAAACCCATACATTCCTCTTCTTCCGTCCTTGTCTCTCCATGGCCACAGGTAAAGTATCCATTTCTCTAGATTTCTGGATATTGTTTAGAACCATTTGAACATGCAGACCATCCATCAATTACCCTTCACTTTTACTGTATGTCTGATCATCATATTCCATTTCAACCATTTTGGGAATGAAGGCTTTCATAGAAAAGAAAGACTGAACAATGATATGGGAAAAAATAGACTTTTGCTTTAGAAATATTTTACTGCCTACCTCACACAGGGTAAGGCTTGAGGTAGACTTGAGATATTCAGGGACATGAGGGGAGGAGAGGGAGTCAAGGATAGATGGGTTAAGAAGAAAAGATATATCAATATCCCAGTTCCTGCAGAGCCAGGGGGTACAACCAGGACTGAGTGCCCAGAGCAGGATCACTGGGTCTTGGGTGATGATCTTCAGGCCATGACAGTAAGGAGAAAGGGGCTGGCTGATTCTGCATTTGGCACATTCATACCATGCTAATCACTCATTGTCCCCTAAATTCTGGCTTCTACACCAGGGTTGCTTCATGCAAAAGAAGCCAATCTTTTTGGGAAGAGAATGGATGCTGAATCTCTAATAAACAACTGTGATTGTTTTTCCACCCTAGTTGGGTGTTAGAGGTTAAGGAGATGCTGAGGAGTGGCCAAGGGATTTCTTCCTCTCTTCTACTGTCAAAAATGAGGTATGGAAATTCTCAGCATGGAAGATTCTAATATATTCTTCCTTATGTAGAAGATTCCAGAAAATAAATAGGATGGAGTGCCAAGAAGGAGAATTAGGGTATGTCTAGAGCAGAGGCAGTGTATCTGTACTGTATAAGGTTTATGGCTCTCACAGAATCTTTCTGGATCACACTGGCCCACCTCCTTCTCATGGTCAACTATCTCTTGGTCATACATAACATTTGTGTCACTCCTGTGCAATTCTTCATAGGTAATGCACCATAGCCTATTTACAGCCTCCATGTGTCTTTCTTTCCATGCTTCCTAAGTGACCCCCTAGCTTTAATTATTTAGAACACTTATATTCTATAATGCATAGCCATGGACATCATCAGAATAGTAGTGTTAAGAAAATGGTCACTGATTCAGGAAAACAATTGGGCTTATTAAAAGACTATGTCATTTCCAAAATTCAGCCTACTTTCTTTCTCCTCTTCCTCTTCTATTCTGGGCCTGCTTCATCGTCCATCTGCAGTGCCTGTCAGAGATAGATGTACTGATGGACTAACTCTATAGGCTGTCAATCCGTTTAACTACATATCATAGTCTATACAATGGACAATCTTCATCCACTTATTTTTTTCTTGTGATTGACTACAAATATCCCAGGGTTTGATGCAATCTGCACAATGTCATGCACAAACAGGAGCACCTGGAGGTCCTCGCCATCTTTAGGGAATCCCCTTTCAAATTGGACATCTTCCATGACAGTGGCATATTGTGTTGGAAAGTTAACTAACTCAACTAAACACTCAAGATTATTATCATTATTTTTTGCATATAAGTCACATTTGAACTAACTTTAAAATGTTAAACCCTATATGATTAAAAAGAAGATCTAAATAGAAGCAATAACTTGTTCCATTCTATAGCATGTTTGTTTCCCTCTTTGTAAAACCTTTTTTTTTCTTTTTTTCTTTGTATGTTTTTAGTTTGATAAATCAATGATTTCTTAGTGGCATCATAAGTACACCTAGCTCTTGTAATTGGTTTAAATTAATTGATGACAAAAAAGATTGATAATGAGGTAGAAAAGAACAAGTTCTCATTTTGTTAGTCAGCTTCTTAACCATGGACTAAACCAAATTATGTTTCTGTTGATTTCATAAGGTACAGGAAACTTAATGTAATTTCATTCTCTACTGATAGGTGGAATTTCCCATATTTTCCAAAAAGTCTACTTACCAAATACAGCCATTCTAAATGTTACTTGCAATACCCAGAGAAGCACATGTTTTTAATTTTAAAATTGATGCCTTTCGTTTTTAGATCACCTTTGCTTCCAGATCTATCTATGCTCCCTCTCCTCCCCACTGAGCCATGCGGTGTAATAGATTTAAAAAAAAAAAGAGAAAAAATGAGTTCAAAAAAACTAACGAATCATATCTGATGGTCTAGGAAGCATTTCACACGCGTAGAACCTCACCTCTGCAAAGAAGATAGGAAAGCACCTTCTCATATCTCTTCTCTGGGGCCAGGCTTGGTCATTTCAATTACCCAATATTTAGTTTTATTATTTTTTTGTCCTTTCTTTTTTTGCTTCATAGAATCATAAATCTAAAGCAAGGAAAGACATCAAGGACCACCTACTCAAATCCTTTCATTTGACATTTGAGGAAACTGGGGCCCAACGGGATTTAGCAAGTTACCAAAGGTCATACAGATAGTAAAAGTCAGAGGGTAAAATTTGAACTCACTTGCCCTGACTTCTTTTTTTTTAATTAATTAATTTATTTTCACTTTTCAACATTCACTTCCATAAACTTTTGAGTTTTAAATTTCTCCCCCCTCCCCCATCTTCCTTCCTCCCCAAGATTGTATGCAATCTGATATAGGCTCTATATATACATTCCGATTAAACATTTTCACATTAGTGATGTTGCAAAGAATTAGAACCAATAGGAAGAACTGCAAAAAAGAAGAAATGAAACAAAACAGAAGAAAGAAAGGAGCAAATAGTATGTTTCGATCTTCATTCAGACTCCATAGTTCTTTCTCTGGACGTGGGTAGTATTTTCCATCATGAGACTTTTGAAGATGTCTTAGATCCTTGCATTGCTGAGAACGGCTAAGTCTATCAAAGTCTATCATCCCATAATATGACTGTTACTATGTACACAGCATCAGTCCATACAAGTCTTTCCAGGTTTTTCTGAAGTCTGCCTGTTCATCATTTCTTATAGCACAATAGTATTCTATCACATTCATATACCACAACTTGTTCAGCCATTCCCCAGTTGATGGACATCCCCTCAATTTCCAATTCTTGGCCACCACAAAAAGAACTGCTATAAATATTTTTGTACAGTTGGGTCCTTTTCTCCATTTGTATGATCTCTTTGGGATATAGCCCTAGAAGTGCTATTGCTGGGTTAAAGGGTATGAACATTTTGATAGCCCTTTCGGCATAGTTCCAAATTGCTCTCCAAAATGGTTGGATCAGTTCACAACTCCACCAACAATGCATTAGTGTTCCACTTGTCTCACATCTTCTCCAACATGTCCACATCTTCTCTCAACGTTTTCCTGTTTTGTCATGTTAGCCAATCTGATAGGTGTGACATGGTTCCTCAGAGTTGTTTTGATTTGCATTTCTCTAATCAATAGTAGTTTAAAGCATTTTTTCATGTGACTATAGATAGCTTTAATGTTTTCAACTTAAAAAAAAACTGCCTGTTCATATTCTTTGACCATTTATCAACTGGGGAATTGCTCAGACTTCTGATTCAGGGCTCTTGCCACTGTACCAGATTCCTGTTGCTTTGCCATTGTGTGTATTATTTTTTCAGTTTCTGCTTACTTTGCATCATCTCATATAAGTCTTCCCATGCTTCTCTAAGTTCTTCATACTCATCATTTCTTATGGCAGATGAATGTTCTATTTCATTCTCATACTACATTTTTTTAGCCATTCCCCAAATCAATGACCATCTAACTTTGTTTCCACTTCTTTGCTACCACAGAAAATGCTGCAATGGATAAACTAGCAAATGAGAACCTCATAAAGATGATAGACAAACCTAAAAAGCAGTTCTTTGAAAAGAGTAACACAGTTAATAAACTTTGAGAGAGACAGAGACAGAGACAGAGAGAAACACAGAGAATGGTTACCAAGTTACCAGAATCCATCATTTTCAGTTAGATCCAGAATGCACCACCTCACCTCATCAACTATCTTCTGGATTTCTGGAGTTGCAGATTTCGTTTCACTTAAGCCGCCAGGCATCATTTTGGTGGTAGTTGGTTTGCAGAAAGAGATGCTGGAACTGAAATGATGAAATGATAAGGTCAGTCATCCTGACTCCAGTTTTAAAGGCAGACAGGCTCTCCTCACATCCGATGAGTGCAAGGGCATGTCATAATAAAGCACTGCTTTCTTGGCTGTAGAAAAGACTCATTGCTCACCTGTTACCATGTATCAATTCATGAATACAAATGTAAAGTATTGTCATATAATATATTGTCATATAATAAGGTAATTAAATGCCCCTTTTTAAAGTGGGCAAGGAGAAGCAACCCTCTATTCTCTGAGTGAATGGTTCAGTCCAGGGAGAATGTCTCAAAAGCACTAATTAAACAAAAGGGGAGTGTCTACTTTATGTTGAAAGGTAATAGCCCCAAATTTCCAAATACTTTTTTTCAATTATACTTGTTCATTTTTAATAATGATTAATTCTCACTCCTTTCTCCAAGGAGTAGGTGGAGACTTTGGCCAGGAGTGTTCCTCTAAAATGCTGATATTCTATGAATTTATGGAGGAAATGCCTTTATTCTATAACCTTTTTGATGAGTATTATTGCCTAATATTTAAATGTGCTTACTAAGCAAAGCTGGTATTTCAACATATGTGAAGCTATGGGGAAATCCCTCTAGGGCAGGGACTATGCTCAGATTTTTGGATCTCTCCTCTAGTACCCAGCCTAGTGTCTAGCATATAGCAGTAACTTGATAGACTTTGAATCTATCATTCAATAATTTGAATCAATCAATCAACAGACATTTATTAATCACCTACTGTGTGCCAGACATTATGATAGGGAGTGGGGATACATAGAAAAAGATGAATTAGTTCCTTCTTTCAAAAAGATAAATGGATAAAAGATAAGGGGAGATAAGTACATATATTAGCATGTTAAGAATAAAAATAAAGAGAATAAATTCAAATAAAATCAAAGTAGTTAAACACAAGGTAGCTTGGTTAGAGGGCACCAGAAATTGGGGGGATCTGGAAAGACTTCTGGAAAGATGAGTCAGGAGGACCAAGCAAATCTAGCTTCTGATGCATAATGGCTGTGTGACTCTGGGCAAGTCACCTAAGGAGCCAATGCCCTATCAACAGAAATAAGAAACAAAGGAAAAGGAGTAAGTTTTGGAGTAAAAGAGAAATGCAATTTTGGAAATGTTGAGCTTGAACTTCCAGAGGGATGTCCAAAAGGGAATGTCTAGTCAGCTATTGAAAATGCTAGATTAGGGGGCAAGCTAGGTGGCACAGTGGATAGAGTTCTGGCCTTGGAGTCAGGAGGACCTGAGTTCAAATTCAACCTCAGACACTTGACACTTACTAGCCATGTGACCCTGGGCAAGTCACCTAACCCCAATTGCCTCACCAAAAAGCAAAAAATTAAAAAAAAATGGATTGCATAAAAAGAAAATGCTAAATTAGAATTTAGGATTGGAGGTTAGAGATAGAAATTCATGAGTCATCAGGTTTTTTTTAATTAAAAATTATTTATTTATTTTAATCACCCCAAATTTATCTTTTTAATCTTCTCCCTCTCCCCAATTGAGAACACAAGAAAAAATTTCATTATAACCTTGAATAGGCAGTTGCAAGAAATTTCCACATTCGTCATGTCCAAAAAAATATTTGCTTCATTCTGTACTCTGAGTGATTCACCTCTTTATCAGGAACTAGGTGGAATGTTTCATCCATGGGTCATTGTGAATCATCTACATATGGGTCAAATTTGAAACTGTTGGATTGGGTGAAATTGCCAAGGAAGAATATTTAATGAGAAGAAAAGAGAGCCAAAGATAGAATCTTAGGGAATAGCTGCATTTAATGGGTAAGAGAGAAAGAGGATCACAGGAAGTCCTTTTTTTCTCTTATCCCTCTAAAAATGATACTCGATAAAATCCATTAGATCTTGTTTGACTTAAAAATTGATTTTGGTTTAAATCACATAAAGCAAAAGACTCAAAGAGTTTTGTGGGAATGTCTTATTCTCATTGAGCCTATATAAAGGGTGTTCAGAAAATGTAATTTTGATGAATCTGAAAGAATCTTTTCATGCAGTTTTGATCAACCAACAGATACTAATTAAAAATTTACTATGTGCCTTTCCATATTAAACCATTTGGATGGGTGGGCATAAAAATAAAAATATAAGACATGGTCCATGTTCTCAAGAACCTTGTTGTTTGTCCTTCATTTTTTTTAAAAAAATTAATTAAGTTATTTATTTTTTAGTTTTCAACATTCACTTCCACAAGATTTTGAGTTCCAAATTTTCGCCCCTTCTCATCCCTCCCCCCACCCCAAGATGACATTCATTTTGTCCTTCATTTTTAAAGAAGACCGATGACAATGACATGGGTGACATCTTAACTCATCTGTAAATTGCATTTAAGTGAGGTAGAGTTACTCAAAGTCATCAGCCTCACTCTCTCTTCCAGAGTCTTTGAAGACTAGTGGCAGGACAAAAGTCAGGACAACGCTTGATGGCCTAGGATGCAGTGGATGATCTTGGTGTCTTCAGTGTCTGACCAAACTTTAAGCTCTCCACAGCACCTGCTTCAGCCATTTTTATGGCTGTTGGAACAAGTTGTTCTCATCCATTCTGCTGGGGAAAGTCTTCACATGCCTGGGGTAGCCATCCCCCCATCTCACTGATGGGTTTGAGACCTAACCTCATTTGACCCATCTGCCCAGATAGTTTTGCCAGGATGTGGCCACTGCCCAAGCCACAGCTTCTTGGAGCCATAGGTGAGAATTGGCTTACAGGTGGACAGAAGTGCTAGTCCTCCCTTAATAAGAAGCTTACAGTCTAACTGACATCATCATCTCACTAAACTTTACCGTGCAGATCCATCAATCAGCATTTAAGGAGCAACAACCTCTTGCATCCTTGGTTGTAAGGAGAAAACAGAGACTTGGACTTGTATAGGTCACTTAATAGATTTATTACCTCACAACAAAACTATTAATTAGGCAAGTAAATTAATGCAATTTATCTTGGATTTTAGGATTTTTCCTTACATTGAAAAGAATTGATCCAGTTCACCTATCCTTTTTACTTTCAGTATTTGGTGACTAAACACATCATTTGCAGTTGAGCAATTCTGAAATAAATCAGTATCTACCCTGATCTAGGGAGGGAAAATTTACCAAAAATCTACCCACCCAAAATTTTCATATTCAAATGAGATTTATTGCAAGATATTCCATGTATCAACCAAAGCCTCAGGAGAAAAAGGTGGGGTAGGAATGCTGGTAATTTTCAAGATTGTATCCTGCCTACTTCAATGAAGACAGATTGGAGAAGAGGGCTTCTTACCAAAATGACTTCCACACATTCCCCTTTTGTCCAGGAAGATTTCCATCTCTGATGCATGCTGGTCAGTCTGTTTTCTTCCTTTTTCAAGGTTTCTTGGATGGTGATTGCATGGGGAAACAAAGTGTGATCAGTTACTTTCTTTCTCAAACACCCAGGGATCTTTGAGCATTGTAATCATAATAATAGCATTGATATAACACCTACTATGTGCATTGTGTAAATGCGATCTCATTTGAGCCTTAAAACATCTCTGTGACATAGGTGCTTTTATTATCCTTGTTTTTACATTTGAGGAAACTGAGACAAAAATAGGTTAAGTGACTTGCCCAAGGTCACACAGCTAGCAAGTGTTTTGAGGCTAGATTTGAACTCAGGTCTTCCTGACTTCAGACCTAGCACTCTGTCTACTGTATGTTTGCATTGTACCATCTACACTGTACCATCTGCGTTGTATTTGGTTGATAGGGCAAAAGTGGGAGAAAGGAGAGATGGGAGACAGTGTGACATCCCTATGGGTGACTTTGGGACTGTTTCTTAGAGAGAGAGGAAGCTGTTCCTCACGACCTCAAACTTTGGCAGTATTTCCAGAGTTGAGGAATCCACTCCTGTTAGATAGTGTTCACAAAGAACAAAGATGCCAAATCAAGTGTCATGGTTTCACATACAATCCAATGTTTGTTGTTTTTCTCCCTATATGAAAAGTTCATGTTCACTAATGTTTGTGAAGTTTATAATGAATTGAAAAAGAAAAAAGAGACAGATGTTTGTTTATGGCCTGAGCTTCTGATTTGACTATCCACTCTCCTGAGCTGGTCCCTAGGTTCTAAAGCATATTCTATTCTGGAGAGCAATTTGGAACTATGCCTAAAAGTTGTTGTTTGTCCTTCGTTCTCAAAGAAGACCATGACATCAGGGAGGTGATGCCATGACATGCAAGTGAATTGGATTTAAGTGAGGCAGGGCTGTGTAAAGTTACCAGCCTCACTTTCTCCTCAGGAGCCATCTGGTTCAGTAGCAAGATATAGATCAGAACGACTGGAGATGTCCCTGGATGCAGTGGGAGACCTTGGCTTTAAGCTAAGGTCTTTAACAGGTCTCAGTTTGACTGAGGCAAGACCCATTCAGTGATTAAGGTTAGGTAGGAAATGAGGCAGAGAATGGCCTCTTTAACCTAGTTCAAAAAAAAAAAATCAGTCTGAGAGGGGAAAACCCTCAGGGTTTGTGGGCAAAACAGAAACAATTGCTATTTACATTCACTCTGAGCCCATCCAGGCCCAAACAAGGACCAAGTGGGGCTTGGCCTGGGAGTCAGAGTGATTTGGCTTTAAGGCATGGTCCTGGAGAAAAAAATCTAGGTGGTAAACCCCAAGATATCTTGGAGATTTCAGGAATGATACCCTATGTGGACAGAGGGAAGGGAGATGAGTTGTGGGGGGAAGGGAGGAAGAGAGGAAGAAAGAAAGTGAAAAACAGGGAAAGAGAGAAAGAAGGAAAGGAAGGAAGGAAGAAACAAAGAAAGGAAGGAAGGAAGAAAAAGAAAGAAAGAAAGAAAGAAAGAAAGAAAGAAAGAAAGAAAGAAAGGAAAGAAAGAAAGAAAGAAAGAAAGAAAGAAAGAAAGAAAGAAAGAAAGAAAGAAAGAAAGAAAGAAAGAAAGAAAGAAAGAAAGAAAGAAAGAAAGAAAGAAAAGAAAGAAAGAAAGAAAGAAAGAAAGCTGTGTTCTGTTGCCCATATGGCCCTTTCCACATGGGTCCCCTACTATACCCTAACCTCTCACCCAGGATTGGGGAACCTGTGGCCATAGCCCTCTTAGAGGTCCTCAAGTGTGACCTGTTGACTAAATCCAAACTTCACAGAACAAATCCCCTTAATAAAAGGATATGTTATGTAAAACTTGGACTCATGTCATGGCATCACCTCCCTGATGTCATGGTCTTCTTTGAGAACGAAGGACAAACAACAGCTTTTAGGCATAGTTCCAAATTGCTCTACAGAATAGAATATGCTTTAGAACCTAGAGACCAGCTCGGGAAAGTGGATAGTCAAATCAGAAGCTCAGGCCATAAACAGGCCAAACCCAAGGACCTAGAAACCCTCATGTGGCCTCCAGGCCGCAGGTTCCCAACCCTGCCCTAACGTAAAGGTTAACCAAATTGTACATGTGCTTTGATCCAGCAATACCACTACTAGATCTGTATTCCAAAGAGATCATAAATGAAAAAATGGAAAAGGACCTACATGTACAAAAATATTTATAGCTACTTTTAAAAAAATCTTATTTAATATTTTATTCCTTCCCAATTACATGTAAAAACAATTTTAACATTCTTTTTTTCTTCAAATTTTGAGTTTCAAATTCTCTCCATCCCTTCCCTGTCCCCCTTGGGAAGGCAAGCAATTTGACAAAGGTCAAACATGTGCAGTGATGAAAAGCACATTTCCACATAAGTCATTCTGTGCAGGAAAACCCAGATAAAAAACCCCAAGAAAAATAAAGAAAAAGTATCTTGATCTGCATTTAGGCTCTACCAGTTTTTTCTCTGGAGAGAGACAGCACCTTTCATTATAAGTTCTACAGAATTGTCTTGGATCATTGTATTGCTGAGAATAGTTAAGTTATTCATAGTAGATCATCATACAATCTTGCTTTTCCTGTATACAATGTTTCCCTGGTTCTGCTCATTTCCCTTTGCATCAGTTCATGTATGTCTTTCCAGGATTTTTTTGAGAGCAACCAGCTTATCATTTCTTAAAGCATAATAGTATTCCATCACAATCATATGCAACAACTTGTTTAGCTGCTCCCCAATTAATGGATATCCCCTCAATTTCCAATTCTTTGCCACTACTAAATGAGCTACTATAAATATTTTTGTACATAAAGGTCCTTTTTCTTTTTGTCTTTTTATCTCTTTGGGATACAGACCTTGTAGTGGTATTGCTTTGTCAAAGGGTTTGCATGGTTTTATAGCCCTTTAGGCATAGTTCCAAGTTGCTCTCCAGAATGGATAAATCAGTATACAACTATACCAATAGTGCATTAGTGTTTTAATTTTCCCACATCCCTCCAACATCTGTCATTTTCCTTTCTGTCATATTAGCCAATTTGACAGGTGTGAGGTAGTAGCTCAGAGTTGTTTTAATTTGCATTTCTTTCATCAATAATGATTTAGAGCATTTTTCATATGACTACAGAGAGCTTTGATTACTTTATCTGAAAACTATCTGTTCATATCCTTTGACTGTTTATCAGTTAAGAAATCCTCTTATTTCTATAAATTTGACTCAGTTTTCTATGTTTGAGAAATGCAGTCTTTATCAGAGAAACTCACTGTAAAATTTTTTTTCATAGTAATGATTACCAACTATGTATTTCCCTGCATCCTTTTTTCCCCTCTATTTATCCTATTCTCTCTCTCTCTCTCTCTCTCTCTCTCTCTCTCTCTCTCTCTCTCTCTCTGTCTCTCTCTGTCTCTCATTCTCTCATTTAATCCTGTCCTTTTTCAAAAGTGTTTTGCTTCTGACTTTTACCTCCCCCAAACTACTCTCCCTTCTATCAGCTCCCCCCTTCTCTGATCCCCTTCCCTTCCTACTTTTCCATGTGTTAAGATAGATTTCTACACCCAACTGAGTGTGTTTATTTATTCCCTCTTTAGTCATAAGGTATGAGAGCTGAGTAACATCTTTCATTGTAGATCCTCTGGAGATGTGGTTGTTAATTGCATTGATCAAGAGTTCTTAAATTTTTCAAAATTTTTTTCTTTTGATTTTGTTTTTTATAGTGATGCTATCCTAGTATAACTTGTTTTCCTGATCCCACTCACTTTACTCTGTGGCAGATCTTATTATCTAGCATTCTTTGAAAAAATTTTTTTCAAAATTTGTTTAGTTATTCCTCAGTTTTCTAAAAGAAAATCTAAGACACTCCCTTAAATTCTAGTTTTCCTTTTCAGTCCCTTCTTTTAATACCCTTTTCAGGATTAGGAAGTTTGTTTTGCTTGCGGATATTCCCTCTCTGGTATTATCCTTTCTCTTAATACCACTTCTTTCTATCCCCACAGGTTTTCCTGTTGACTTTGATGTATTTCTTTTTTTTAAATCAATCAATAATAATTTATTAAATATCTAGTATATGTCAGGCACTGCAGATACAAATACCAAAGAGAAATGGTCTATTTAGAATGTTGATGTCCACAACAGAACTCGTCATCCCTCTCACTCCTCCCCCTCCCCAGCCCTCTTCTCTTTCAAATTTCACTATTATAGTTTAGGCCACCATTATGATCCCAGTCACACAGGCCAGAAACCTTGGTGTCATCCTTGACTCCTCATTCCCACTCACCACTTGCTTCATCCAATCTGTTACCAAATTTTGTCATTTCTGCCTTTACAACATCTCTTACATATGTCTCTTTCTTCTACCCTATTTCACATATCTCTCTTCAATCTAAGCCATCTTCCCGTTTTCTGCCATAGTAATTTTTCTAAATCATAAGTCTGTCTATGTCAGCTCTCTGCTCAAAAATCTTTAGTGGGTCCCTATTACCTTCAGGATCAAAAATAAATTATTATTGTTATTTAAAGCCCATCATAGCTACCTCACCAAGCTCTTTCCAGTTTTATTACATTTTATTCCTCTCCCTATACTCTATGATCAAGCCATACTGTCTTGCTTACAATTCAATTTCAATTGAACAGCACTGTTCCTCTCCTTTCTCCATGCCTTTGCAATGGCTGTCCTCCACGCTTGGGAGACTCTTAGCTCTTTTTTTGTTTTAATTTATTTATTTTTAGTTTTCAATATTCACTTTTATAAGATTTTGATTTCTAAATTTCTCCTTCCTCTCCCTTCCCCCTTCCCCAAGACAGCATGCAGTCTGATATAGGATTAAACATATTTCCACGGTAGTCATGTCAAAGAAAAATCAGAACAAAAGGGAAAAAATCATTAAAAAAATAAAAAAAGATAAAATAGTATGCTTCAATCTGCATTCAGACCCCATAGTTCTCACTCTGTATGTGGATAACACTTTCTATCACAAGTCTTTTGGAATTGTCTTAGAT